CATGGGGGGAGGCCCGTGGGGGGGAGGGCTGCTTGCGCTGAGCCTTGCAGACAGCCCGGGCAGTGCTTCTTAGCGTTTGGTCCCAGTACAGCCCCAGGTCAGCGCCCCTCCCCAGGGCCTGCACCTCACGCTGGGTGCCCGCCTCCCGTTTCCTGCTCAGGTGGCACCGCGTTGTCATGGGTCTCTCTTTGTGCCGTGGCCTGGTTTCGGCAAGTTATTCCAGTTTTAAACTTTGCTTATGGGCTTGAGATGGTGTGGCGAGTGACGACAAATGTTCTTTTCCGCTTAGGTTTTGTTTTATTACTTCTTGGTTCTTATTTTCTTTGAATGTCCCCTGCTGAGGGATACATGCATCGGGGTTTGCCATTTTCCCTCTGCTGCTGTGTGGAAACCTGTCCTTGCCTACTCACCAAGGAGGAGTGCAGGCTGATGGGATGACCTTCATCTCAAGACCACAGGAAGTCATAGCTTTGGAATGTTTCCTGTGGCCCCCGCTGAAGGCCGGCTTCCCTGGGCTGCTCTGGGGCAGATTTTCACTGTGGGGTGGAAGGGACCAGACCAGTGCGTCTAAGAGCCAGGAGCCCAGGACTCCCACGGGGACCGAGCCCCTCCCCTCGGCTGCTGGCATCCGGCCCATTGTTCCTTCCTGGTGGGCTGCCCTTTGGGTCGCAGGCTGTCTGGCAGCCCCTCTGGCTCCACCCAGTAGCAACCCGGGAGTTGTGGCAACGAAGACACCTCCACACATCGCCAACCGCCCCGGCAGAATCACACACCTTCCCACCAGGTTAGACCCACCCCTGCAGAGGCCCCAGCAAGCTGGGCTGAAAGGCGCGCTAGATGCTTTCCGCGTGCTGCTCCCTTCCCCTGCTTCCGGCCCAGTCCCCTGGGGGTGAGCTGTGTGAACATTCCTATGTTGTTCCTTCTCCGCCTTGAATGCTTTAGCTCTCCACTTCCTGGCGCTTATTGTACGCACAGTGGAGACCTCAGGACCTCCCCCACTCCCTGGGACGCATTATTCTGTGATGCTCCCCAGGGTTTCCCAATCAATGGCCTTTCTGGTTTCTTGCCTTAAAATGGTAGTAAATCCGAGGCCCCAAAAGCAACGATCCAAACGGGTTCTGAAGGCAGCGGCAGGAGGCTCACCGGCTCTGACCCTCCAGTGCCAGCACCTCCTGTATTGCAGGCTGTTCCCTCCCCTCCGGCCCCCTCTCCTTCCTTTCCTGCTCTGGGCCATACGTTTAGGAGTCACAGTTTAAACGTGTCTTACACTCTGCTGGAGAGGAAAGAAAATATTTGAAAAATGGAAAGAAAACACCCACGGAAAGATCCCGTCCATGCCCTGTGGGATGGTTTCCCAGATTTCATTCTAATTCCTTCATCGCAGTGACCATTTCAGGTGGTTTAGGAGGATTTTCAGAAACCAGAGAATTAATCTTTGAAACCTTTTTTTCTATTGTCGTGGACTTGCTCAGAGCCCATCTACTTGCTTTCTGTTACTCATTCACACCCATTAGAACAGTACAGTTCACCGGCATCCCCACTGTGTGTATCTTCCAGCAGCTCTGATGTTCAGGCTGGGCCGACTCTGATGCCAGTGAGGCGTCCGTTCTCAGCGTTTATTGTCCTCTCTCACATTTCCCAGCGAAACTAGGCTGCTCTGCGTGCGAGAAGAATACTTTCCGTCAGCCTGGTGCATCTGTCTGGCTTCTGCCACTGACATGGATTTAATTGCTCCATCACCGGGTGTTGTTGCTTCATGGAGTGGAGCGCCCTCCACTGGACATAGTGAGCGGTGTCTGTTGGGAGGCAGCTGCCCGTGGCCTCTGTCCCCTGTGCTCCTTCCCAGTTGTGCTGGGTGAGGAGGTTGAGACTACAAGCTGCAGACACGCCCAAGGTCACACAGAGGCTGGAGCTGGATGTGGACCAGGAGCACTGGGTCCAGGGCCGTCGTGCTTTCCCACGGGAGCCGGCTATTCAGGGCGGCTGCATCCATCCCTGGGGTTTAAGGACAGTTGAAACTCGGTGTCAGCCTGGCTTTAGCATCAACGCTGTGCTTTGAGCTTAACCTCCCTGAGCCTAATGAAGTTTCCCCTTCTGTAAGTTGGGGTGACAGTGACCTCACAGGATTCTCACAGGAGAGGGAAGCCTCCACTTTTGGAGAATACGAGGAGGGCGCTGGTCCGGCCTGGGGCGGGGCGGTGATGTTTGGTTATGTCCTAAGACCCAGAGAGTAGGAGCAGGCGCAGAGCTAGCACTCAGCCTGCCGGAGCACTCAGAGCTCTCGCCCACTCTCGCCGGCCCTGGAGAGCTGCTTGATCCTGCTAATCCACTCCCACGGCCGCCTCCATCCAGCACTGTGCCTGCCTCTGGGGTTCTCTTCCTGGTTCAAGTGAGTGGGGAATCAATTCTTTACTGTGGAGTTTGAATTCTGAAAGAAGGTGGAATGTGAAGGGAAGAATCTGGCTGGTGGATGGGTACAACACAGAAGGTCAGTCTGGGGAAAATGATGAGAAAGAAGAGGGACAGGACTAAGAAAAGAGCATGGTAAACAGGACGGGGTCCAGATGGGAAAGTGCTCTGGGCACATTCATTTGGGAATGATTTGATTGGCTTTGGGAGGTTCTCTAGGAGAATAAAAAAAGTGTCATGATACCATGGAAGTAGCCCTAGAATTTTGCCTCAGAGCACACAACTCATCAGTCTCTGAAAAATGGCTGAGTGCTTGGACAGCTCTCAGGAGCGTGTCCAGGAGACTGCCCGACTTGTTGCCAGAGTAAGAGAGGCGTTTAGGCGTGAACTGAGATGGCTTTTTTTTTTTTAATCCTCACCCAAGGAGTGAGATTTTTTCCATTGATTTTTTTTTTTAGAGAGAGAGTGAAACAGAGGGGGAGGACGCGCGAGAGAAACATGGATGCAAGAGGACACATCGATTGGTTGCCTCCTGCGTGTGCCCCAACCGGGAGCAGGAATTAACCTGAGACCCTGGTACGTGCCCTTGACCAGGAATTGGATCTACGACCCTCGGGTGTGCAGGCCAACACTCTAGCCTTCAAGCAGCACCAGTCAGTGGCTTTTCTTTTTTAATCCAAGGTCTTAGAATCCTGGAAAATTGGGGCAAAGATGGCAAGGAAAGTTTCCATCCTCTCCTGCTGCTTTCCACCTTCATATTCTTATCTTTCTCTTGGGGAATAAGTGAGAGGCATTTCAGTTCCAGGGTAAGCTGGGCAGATTTTGGAAAATGTAGAGGCATTACAGACAGAATCACCTTATGCTTTCATAAAGTAAGTCCTGTCATACTTACTTCTAAGTAGTTGTAATCTACATAAAAGGGCGCCTGATTAAACAGACTGGCATGCCAATAGGTGGTTCTGTGGTAACTGGTAAGCTTCTTCAGTAATTCTCTTCAAGAATCACTCAGGATATGTTAGTTTATTTTATATTGGGAGTCCTAATAAAGTTACTTAGCTTAGCACTTTTTTCACTGTTGCTGTGGAAAACAGCATTAAAAATTGTGGGTCAAGAACGTGAAAATACTCCTTACCCCAGGAAGGTGTGCGAGCACCAAGTGGTGGCAGGCAGACTAGGGGTACCCTGGGACATTTGCTGAGTGGCCCCGGGCCCAGCACTGGCACCGAGTTTGAACTGTGTCAGTGTGTGAAGCAGAAAAACAACTCAGTCACAGGCAACAGTATGGTGATTATCAGAGGGAAATGGGGGTGGGGGAAGGTAAAAGAGAGTAAAGTGGGGATACATGGCGATGGAAGGAGACTGGGGGTGGTGAACACACAATACAAAATACAAATGGTGTATTACAGAATTGTACACCTGAGACCTACATAATTTTATCAACCAATGCCACCCCAATAAATCTAATTTTAAAAAGAATGCTGCTATTAAAAAATCGCGATTGCAGAATGAAAAGTAGAATTAAAGAATGGCAAGAGAGGTTGGATAGACCACCCATGTTACTGGTCAAACCTCGTCCTTTTGGGGAGGGAGATAACGGAGTCTGACGCAGCTGTGACGTGCTCCCAGTGCTCACGGCGACATGCTGGTGGTCAGTGACAGCCGGAGAGAAACCAGATCGCCCAGCTGCTGGCCCAGGACTCACTTTGCTCTGTCTCGCTGGCCCATTCAGGGCTTGTTTATCTGTTCAGCTGGAGGCAGCAAGCGAAGCCCTATGAAACAGCTCGTGAATACCTAAAGGGGTTCGCCATCAAGTGTAAATGAGAACAGTACAGGGAAGACCTCGGAAGGAACTGCCAGAGAGGAAAATACTCATTGTGCTATTTGAGCCAAAATTTGGAGAATGAGATGAGCAATGGTATCCCAAGTGTGTGGACCAGCAAAGGTACACACCCCTGTGGGAGAATGAGAACATTGTTGGAGAGCAGGAGTGGGGTAAGGAAGCAGAGTCTACTGGGCGCAGAGAACCTGTGTTGGAGGGTAACTCGACTGCTGCTTGGTGAGGAAGGAACTGGGAGATATGGAAAGAGCAGGAAAAGGGAAGGTTAGCAGAGTCTTACTAGACACTAGAGGCCCAGTGCACGACATTTGTGCACTGGTGGAGGGCGCTATTCTATGCCAGCAGTGGACATCCCCCAAGGGATCCTTAGCACTGATGCAGAGGCGGGAGAGGCTCCTGCCACGGCCACTGCGCTCGCCAGCCATGAGCCCGGCTTCTGGCTGAGCAGCCCTCCCCCTGTGGGAGCACATTGACCACCAGGGGCAGCTCCTGTATTGAGCGTCTGCCCCCTGGTGGTCAGTGCGCATCATAGTGACCAGTTGTTTCACCATTCGGTCGATTTACATATTAGCCTTTTATTATATAGGATAGTTGATAGAGAATGAAGGGTCCACTGGATTCTAGTTAGTAGATATAAGCTTTATAAGAGCAAGGATTTTCTTTGTTTGTTTTACTCCCTATTGTATCCTCCATGCATAGAACAGTGCCTAGCACAAGATTAACGCTCAGTAAAATCTCTTGAATGAAGAGACAAGTGAATGAACCACTAAAATATGGGTCCCAACAGGATTGAAGTTATTGACCAATGGGATAATGTAATAGAAACAGTGTCCAATGAAGAATATTTTTGCAAATGTGGAATGAATGGTCTCAATATGTAAAGGATCAGAGATAAACCCTCCAATATGGAATGACATGATGGAGACTCAAATAAGAATTGTAATCACAGTAAGAGAAAAGACAAGGGTAGAAGGAAAATAAATGGAGGGGAGAGAACATAATATGGACTTGGATCTGGAAGCAAAAAGATACCTTTTATGAGCCAATGAAACTCAAAGGAAAACTTCAAAATCATTTGGATTCAAACTCAGTTACTTTTTCATTAAAAAAAGAACTTATATATTTATATGCATAGCACATGGACATGAACAGTAGGGTGGTGAGGACCTGGGGGGGGCGGAACGGGGCTGGGTGAAGGGAGGTAAAGTGGGGGGGGGGGAGACATCTGTAATACTTTCAACAATAAAATAAAAGAAAAATAGTAATAATAAAAAGAAAAATCCGAAAACATTGTCTAACATTATGCAACATATGCTTGTCTTAGACTCTTTTTATTGCTATTTCAAAAATAGTTTCTAAAATTAGCAATATTTTAGTTTAAAAAATGGACACCTGTGAAATCAAGCACTAATGTTTTTACATCTTGAAATATAAAACTAGCTCTAGAATCTACATATATAAAAGTCTAAGCAACCGAACGACCGGTCGACTGGTCGCTATGATGTGCACTGACCACCAGGGGGCAGACACTCAATGCAGGAGCTGCCCCCTGGTGGTCAGTGCACTCCCACAGCGGGAGTGCCATTCAGCTGACCAATGGGCTCACAGCTGGCGAGCACCACTGAGGTAGCGCGAGCCTCTCCCAATCAGGACTGACTGGGCACGAGCCTGGGGCTGGGATGAGCAGGAGCAGCAGGTGGCATTTGACTGCCGGTTTCAGCCTGACATCCCCTGAGGGGTCCTGATTACAAGAGGGTGCAGGCCAGGCTGAAGGACCCAACCGATACATGAATCCATGCACTGGACCTCTAGTGTCTTCTAAAACAACGAACCAACTGTAAATCTCTAGGGTACTATGTCACAGCTTGCTATAACTAGTCCAGGGAATCTTTGGAACTGTTATTTTTTGGAACTATTTTTTAATTGTGATGACTTTTTACTAGAAAATAATGCCAAAGGAGAAGTTGGCTAGATTAGCAGTGCAAGCTTCTGAGTGTCATGAATGGTTCTGTATCTTACTCTTCTATCTGTTCTATTTCATAACCATCCCAAATTACTACCTCTACTGTGCTCCTCTCAAATGAACCCTGCCGTTCCGTATGGATTGACTGATGCCCTTATTTCAACCAAGTGACAGGAAATATACTGAATTGCTTTGATGTGAAAAAACAAAACACAACCCTGGGTGGTCCTGGCTTAGAGACTCTGTCAGTGGAGATGGTCCCCGCTGGCCAGGATAAGTAGATAAGAGCAGGAGGAGGACACAGCCTGAACCAGGCTGGGAGGCCATCTGCTGTTTTCCTCTTAGATGCTAACAGAGGGTCCTGGATGCAGTGATGGAGAAGAGGTCCAGGGCTGCTTAACACCACCCATCATCCCTCAGGGGCAGTGACTTAGACCCCCCAGGTCCTGTGATTGTGGCCACTGGAATTATCTGTGACCTATTGGTGCATTTTATTTTATTTTATTTTACTAGAGTCCTGGTGCACAGATTCGTGCACGAGTGGGGTCCCTCAGCCATTGAATTTTAGAGAGAGTGGAAGGGAGGGAGAGAGGGAGAGTGAGAGAGAGAGAAGCATCAATGTGAGAGAGACACATAGGTTGGTTGCCTCCCACGGACATCCTGACCTGGGCTGGGGATTGAACCTCCAACCCAGGTGCATGCCCTTGTCCAGGAAATGAAACCACAACCCTGTGGTGCACGGCTGACCCTCTAAACACTGAGAAGCACCAGCCATGGCACCTATTGATGTATTTGTTAAAAATATATTTGTATATATTTCAGAAAG